TTTTTGTTGCGATAATTTTGTTGCCCAGTGTATATAATTTTTCAAAAATTATCTTAAGAAACAAATTCAGTTTAAAAAGAATAATAAAATTTGAATTAGATATGATATAATATTTATCAATATCGGGTGAATGTCAGAAACCAGTGCCGGCTCATTATAAATGTTTTTTATAAAATTATATATTTTTAATTATTTTTTTAAAAAGAAAATTGTAAATTTAATAATAATGATAAAGAATAAGGTTTGGCTATTAAGCTTTGGCCCAATATTGGGCGGCACTTGCTTGCCAAGCCTCGGCTACCCAAATTCGGGTAGTAGTTGGGCCAGGCTTGGGCATTAAACGTCGGCAAGCCGACACTCGTGCCAGTCTTGGCCCGTTTCTCGAGTATCAGCGTTTCCTACCTGGGGGACTCTCTCGTGGTCTCGTTACGTGCTTCCCCTTTGTTAGCTCGCAAGGGTCTCGGATTTCTAAAAAGTTTTTATTAATGCTTTCCAAAATATTTATATAATGTTCCAAAATCTTCTTCAAATATTCCTAAAATAATTAGAATGTTTTCAATATTTTCCCTAAAATGTTTATAGATTATTTTAAAAATATTCTACTAATATGTAAAAAATATTCTATTAATATTCTGAATATTTCGTGTTCATTGCAATGTTCACAGATTATTATTGAAATATTCATAACAATTATAGAAAAGTTTTTCAGAATATTCATAGCACTTGCTATAAATGTTTAAGAATATTAACAAAATGTTCCGTAAATATTCCAAATATTCTATATTTGTCAAAATATTTATGCATTTTTTAAATGTACTATATTTATTAGACATTTGTAGAATATTCTATGCATATTCCGAATGGACAAAATTTCATGGAATATTTATAGAACTTCTACAGAATATTCTGAATGACCCGTGGAATATTAAAATATTTATAGATTGTTTATAGCACATTTCTTGCATATTCCATGCTGTATGGGCATGGCGTGATACATCAGGTTTTAAACTTTTAGACGAACCTAAGCTGGTGTAGTTTATCTATGTAGTTATCTATGTAGTTTACCGGGTCAATGTATGGAGGTCAGACCAACCATTTCCACAAAAGACATTTATGCATTGACGTAGTTAGTTGTTTTTTCCCGTTTACTTGACATCGCTTGACAATTAAAAATGATTATTTATACACATGCATCTGCAGACATAAAAGTTTAACGGATATTATTTCTATTGTGAATGTGTAAATGCGTGAATACATTGTGGAAAGTAGACATAATAATGACTAAAATTAATATCAGTACCCGCGGTTTCCAAAAAGATCGGTAATGAAAAATTATACACTTCTTTAACATTCAATCAAATATTTCCCCAAAAAGGTCGATCGTTTGGAGTATTTTCAATTTCTCTCTCTCCCTCTCTCTTTCTTTCTCTCTTTGTCTTTCTCTCTCTCTCTCTCTCTCTCTCTCTCTCTCTTTGAGATTCGGTCATTTATTTCCCAAAAAATTAGAAAAATTAGAAAAATTAGAAAAATTAGAAAAATTAAAAAAAACGGTTTTAAAAAAAAACGGTAACAAAAAAGTATACACATAGTGGCACTCCCCGGAAAATTCTACCCCTATTTCATATACTTTTGGTAGAAATTTGATCTATAATTATTTGAGATTCGGCCACTTATTTCCCAAAAAACCTTTACTTTATGTACAATTCTTTGAGATTTGGTCATTCGGAACCGGTTTCCAAAAAAATCGGTAACAAAAAATAGTACACTTTATAGCACTCCCCGGGAAATTCTACCCCTACATCATATATAATTCTTTGAAGATCAATCAATTATTTCCCGAAAAATTGGAAAAATTAAAAAACTGGCATCCAAAAAGATCGGTGACAAAAAATTATACACTTTATAGCACTCCCTGGAAAATTCTACCCCTGTTTGATCTATAATTCTTTGAGATTCAGTCAATTATTTCCCGAAAAATTAGAAAAATTAGAAAAAACGGTTTCCAGGAAATCGGTAACAAAAAACTATACACATAGTGGCACTCCCCGGAAAATTCTACCCCCATTTTATATACTTTTGATAAAAATTCGGTTTAGGTGTTTGGGCTGGGCGTTGATGAGTGAGTGAGTGAGTGAGTGAGTCAGTCGGGATATCTTCCTTTATATATATAGATATCTAAACCTTGCAATTCTGCTCCATCTTGCCTCCTCCCATCCCTTCTCTAGATATTCCGGAATCCCGTTTTTCCTTATATAAACTTGTACCACTTATTGTATTTAGATTCCATGATCCTTTCCATTCCTTCGCATCTTTGCTTCGATTTCTCATTATATTCCAATACCTCCTTTTCCAACTCCTGCTCCCCTCCAACTTCTACACCGATCCCTTCCAAGTAGTCTTTTCTCTCCTGCTTCCATTTGCCTATAATCCTTTCCTTCTTCCATCTGTCTTTCATTTCCTCCAAACATTTTCTCGCTATTTTTTCTCTTTTACCTTCTTCCAGTTTTCTCTCGAACTTCCATGCCCTCTTGCTTGCTCTGGCTCTCATTTTTTCCCTTTCCCTTTTCCTTCATCTCTAATCATGTACCCTGGGGTCCTCCAATTTAATCCGACTGTCCATCTGAGATATCTCTCGTGTATCCCTTCTACTTCCCTCCTTTCCCTCCATCCCCATATTTCTGCCCCGTATCCCATCACAGTCCATATCAGGGTATCGTATAGCCAGATCCTTCTTTTCCAATCTTTTTTTCACATCCTCTTTTCTATCCCCCAAACTTCCCTCATTACTCTTGCCGCCTTCCTTCTCCGTTCTTTAATGTGCGCCTCCTGCCCTCCATTCTCCTTCAATGTGTACCCCAGATATTTGAACTCTCTGACCTCTTCTAATTTCTTTCCCTTCCATCTCCAATCATACTTTCTCTTCCTCCCTCTTCTTTTCCTGAATCTCATTATCTTTGTCTTCTCTATACTCAGCGTTAAACCCTTCCTGTTTAAATACCCCTCTAGCCTGCTTATCATAGATCTCATGTCCTGTTCCCTCCTCTGCTAGTACTGCTATGTCATCTGCATACATTAAAGTGTATATTTTCTCTCCTTTTAATCTCACACCTCCCCATCCACCCTTCTTCATGTAATCCTCTATGTCTGCAATTGGTAAGTTAAACAGTATCGGGCTTAGCGGGCATCCCTGTCTTAATCCAAATGGGTAAGTTATTAAAAACTTGATAATGGAAAACCACTGTGACGGCCGGAAAAAAATGCTATTTTCATGAATTTTTTTTCGCGAGAAATAATAAATTTAATTAAATTGGTTTGTTATATTTCTTTAAAGTACATATATTAAATATATTGTAAAAAAAACATTAAAAAATATTAATATTTGCGCCTTTAGCGTGTGGTGCCGTGTACTTCCGCAAAAAAGCTGAGCGGTCGCATATCTCGGTCAATTTTTATCCGAATGGCGCAGTTTAAAAAAAAATTCGGGATTTAGACGAACATTTTGCCAAGTCATTCGGATAAAAATTGACCGAGATATGCGACCGTCCAGTTTTTTTTGCGGAGGTACACGGCACCACACGCTGAAGACGCAAATATTTTTTAATATTTTTTTTTACAATATATCCAATATATGTACCTTAAAGAAATGACAAACCAATTTGATTAAATTTATTACTTCTCGCGAAAAAAAATTTATGAAAATAACATTTTTTTTCGGCCGTCACAGTGGTTTCCCCCCTTAACAAGTAGCAAGTAAAAAGATTTGAGACACGGTCAGCAGTGCGTAAGTTAACGTTATATCAACCTTTAATAACTAATAAGATAACATAATTATAATACCTCGGATGTTTCGGTTCTGTTTTGAGCCGTCTTCAGCGATGCACTAACAGTCAAAATCAAAGACAGTAAAACTTTCCACGAAAAAATTTAAGTAAAACCTTATTAATATTATAATCATAATTTGTGATATGCTCGAAACAGAAATAACAGTCAGGACAAAAAGAAGTAAAATCACACACTTACCAGAGTTCCGAGAACGCATGAGAATAAAAAACATATATTCGTAACTTTGTACCTTCAAATTAGTTTTAAAGTTTAGTTTTTTTCATTTAGGCTACAAACTTATGAGTTAATATATTAAATATTCAATTAGTGAAAAGAATCCGAATAAAATCTAAATTAGGGCAAATACAATGCGTGTGTGTGTGCGTTTTGTACAATAAGTAGATTTACGCTAAGCATATATTCTAGCTTGTATATCTCTATTTAAATTGAAAATAATTGATGTGAAATATATAATAAAGAAAACATTTTCTTTCAATAAACTTAGAATGTTATAATAAATTCCAATTATATTAGTTTATACGTGACGACTTACGTGAAGATATATTGTATAATAATATAAATAATAATTATATCTTACATATTACACTGAGAAAAAAAAATCGTTGATTCAAAGAAATATTATTTGATTTAACTAAATGCAGCGGTCACGGGCTGTCAAGCTAACATTTGTTAATTCAAAAAATATTATATTGAAATAAATTCAGAATTTCTTAATATTACTCACGTATATTTGATTTAAATATATTAATATTTGCATTAAACAAATCACTACAACTAAACGAGTTTAGTCAAATTAACGACATTTTTTTCTCAGTGTAGGTATTAAAATAACGATTGTTTTACTTTTTTAATTAAATTATTTCACAACATATCTAAAACTCACACAATAATAATACTCACAAACATAAAATGATAACACATAGTAATTTTTTAATATTCTCTTTCTGAATTCATTTTGGTTCTACATATTGGCAAACTCCTCAATAATTCCCACGATTGTGTGGTAAATATATCGTAACGGAAGCGTCGCTATTCAAATATTTACAATTTTAATCGGCTTCATCATTATCATATGTATGTAGAAATAGAATACACATGTAACACAGAAACTATAAATAGAGGAGATTTAGTTTTGACTTCACTCGGTCACATATCGCCACGGTGGAGCATACTCATTGTCAGTCTCGCATAGCCAAACTTTCTGTAACTCAGCGTTTTCTGAGCTTTGTGCGAGTTGTACCAGCGTAAGCGAACTCCGGTGCTGTTGGGAGGACGGAGGCCTGGACGGCGTGCCAGGCGCGGTGTCTTCAGAGAAGCAGGAGTCAGGACACCCCTCCAAATTAGAGGGTAAGAAGCAAGCTAAAAAAAAACCTAAAAAAAAACGTCGACTTCACTGCTCTTGAGTGTTTCACTTGCCACGGTGCTTCCACTTTCTATTGGTACGTATATGTAATATTAAATTGTATTTAATTATTTTTTTTATTTTACATTTATGTATGTTTTCTCAAAAAATAAATAATGACATTTGTTGTAGAATTTGTCTGTTTCGAAAAAATAAAGATACTATGAATCGACCGAACTTATATATCAGCGTCGATGCTGAAGAAGAAATCGTAATCTCTGGTATTGCTGGCCGATTTCCTAATAGCGACAATTTAAAAGAATTTCAAGAAAATTTTTTTAACAAGGCGGATCTTGGTTCGAGCGATCATGGGCGGTGGAATAACTGTAATAATTTCTTTTTTATATGACCTCATATTCGCATTTTATGGATTGATGGGTGATTTAATTTACTTCTCTTGTCGTTAAAGTTCTGACTGTCATTTTTATTTCGATTATATTATAAACTATGATATTATAGGGATAGGCTAAGAGCCTTCGTAGAAAGAGATTATTTTGATTCAGTTGTCACCGCTGAAAATCTGACTATTCAAAACAAAGCCGAAATTTCCGATGTATAATTATATATTAGTTATTATAACGTTAATTTACGCTAACGTACGCTTTGTCAACCGCATTGTACTGTCAAAGCCTCCTTTTATTTGTTACTTTTTAACATATTTATTTCTTATATAGCTTATAATGTACCCCATCAAATTGGTAAAGTCAACAATATCGAGAAATTCGATTCAGAATTTTTCAACATACCCACAACAGAAGCTCATATAATGGACCCTATGACTAGAATGTTACTCGAGCATACTTATGAAGCAATTATCGATGCGGGTGTAAACCCAAAAGAATTACGGGGAACAAAAACGAGTGTTCTTACAGCAATTTCTCAGTCAGAGACTCGAGCATATTTTTCTTTTAAAAGTTCTGAGGTGTGTGTGATATATTTAATTATTATATAAAACACAATTAATAGAAATTTATTTAAAGAAATGATAATTATATATGTGTAAAATTTTTATCGCAAATATGGAAATCTGTTTCCTTAGTATGTAAAATTTAGAAAAATTATACAACAGTTTTTAATAATTTTACAAATAAATTTGACTTGTTATTTATATATTTCAATACTTCAAATTATTTACAAACATGTATTGTGATTAGTTAGCTAGATTACCTATGACTGGATGCAACATTTCTTTCGTGGCAAATACAATTTCTTACTGGTTGGGCATTACTGGACAATCGCATAATATTGATACTGCATGTAGTTCAAGTATCTCTGCTATAGTGAAAGCTTACGAGCAGATTCGATCCGGAAATTGCGATGCTGCCATTATCGCTTCCGCGTCTTTATGTCTCAGTCCTTTCGTCCAAATGCAATTTTGCAATCTAGGTATGTATTTATTATATCTTATTATATTGTATGTTACGTTATAAAAATTATTAATTATTAAGGTTTTATTTGTCCGTTTGAAGATAATGAAAAGTCCGAGTGGATTTGATTTCAACAAAAGAAACTTTATTAGGGTAACTCCGGTATTTACGCCGCGCGGGGATTTATGCCGCAGAAGTCAGAAAAAATTTCTATTTTTGAATTTCGAAGTATAGGTTCCAATGGAAAATCCATACGATTAAACCGGGCTAAAATATGTAAAATAAAAATATAAATAAAACTTTCGCGAATCATTTACCGCGCTGGTTCTTAGTTAGCCCGGTTTATTCGTATGGATTTTCTATTTTTGATTGGAATGAAGATATTTGCTCGCAATCACTCTGTTATATGCCTTTATTTATGCTATATTAGTATTGTGTTGTAATGTCAGTTCTTTAACTGTTAATCCTTTGAGACCACACTGGGTGGCGACTACCCCACAAAAATTCAGGGCCCAATATTTTTAAAATAAGCTTTATAATCAGTGTTCCTCCACCCAGGATCTCTCGTTTGAGTCCTTCTCTTGAAGATCCGTGCAGTAGAAAGGTTTAAAGCTATGTCAGTTATGTTTGGCAAACATTTGAAAATTATTATTGGGATGGTGACCACTCAAGTGTGACCTTGATATATATTTTTTATCGCGATCAAAAATTACAACATTTTTGTTCATCGAGCACATTTCAAGTTCTGCACCATACATTTTTGAACAACACTCTATTTTTGAACAACATAACCGTAAAGCACTTCACTATTACTCCTACAAGTTCCTTAAGAAGAGCATGTATATAATATTCTTGAAAGCATTTTCGTAAGAAATTTTTGAAGATGTGAACAATTAGATATATACCAATAAAGCAAGAAGTTTAAACAAAGAAAATGAAACAAAACACAAAATATTATCAAAATAAAGATATTTAACCGGTAGACCAAATCAAATTGTACGACAAGCTATATGCGTGATTGATGTAACTCTATTAAATATTCTCGAACAGTATAGAACAATTACATTATTTCGTTCGGATGCATTAGCACAAATATTTCTTTTTGTACTGTCTCCTGTGAAATCAACAAACTCTTGTTGTGTGTGAATTATATTAAGATTATGTTATTATTTTACGTTTTTGTTTATTCAATAACGTGCACTCTTTGTCTGTAATGTTCAATAAGCCCATGCTTCCTTTCTATCCTTACATTTAGAGATTGAATCGAAGCTTGAAGAACTTTATTTAATAACGTGAATTAATTTCCTTCTAGGAGTTCTATCTTCTGATGGTTACTGTAAACCCTTTGACGAGGAAGGCGCCGGATATATGCGTGGCGAGACGATCGCGGTAGTATACCTGCAAAAGGCAAAAAATGCAAGAAGAATATATGCGACCATCGTACACGGTAAAATAAATTGCGATGGTTTTAAAGAAGAAGGTATTACCTTTCCATCGGTCAAAAAGCAAAAAATATTGTTGGACGAATTTTATAAGGAATGTGAGATCTCACCCAATGAGTTATCTTACATGAAGGCTCATGCAACTGGTACTCTTGTCGGTGATCCCATAGAAGTTATGTCTATTGACCAGACTTTATGCGCTAAAAGAAACACTCCTTTATTGATGGGCTCGGTAAAATCGAATATTGGGCATTCCGAACCCGCCAGTGGCCTTTGTCAAATCGCAAAGGTAACATTTGTAATAAAATGATTTAACACTGACTTTGCTTAAAATGTGATTATAGCAATTTATATTTTTTTATATTGTTACAATTATAATACATATGTATATAATACATTTATGTAAAATAATTACTATAATTACTGCTAATAAAAAAATGTGATTTTTTAAAGGTATTATTAGCGATGGAAACTGGTATAATTACGCCTACTATACACTTCAAGCGTCCGCGAAAAGAGTTAACTGCTATTATCGAAGGAAGAATAAAGATCGTCACTGAACCAACAGAATGGGAAGGTGGTTATGTAGGTATCAATGCTTTTGGATTTGGAGGAGCTAATAGCCACATATTATTAAAATCAAATCCTAAACAAAAAATCAACAATGCAGCTTTGAATGATGACTTACCTAGACTTGTAGCTGTGTCTGGACGTACGGAAGAAGCAGTTAAAATCATCTTAGATGATGTAAGCAAAGATTATAATGGCTTATTTCATTTATTTCAGAAATAATTTTTGACATTAGTCTTTTGTATTATCATATAAATATAACAAACATAACAATTAAATATACACACGTGTATTTATATATAGTGTCTAAAAAGATATTTGCGTACATAATCGCTTTCGAAATTATTTCGTACAAAAAAGAAAAGTCAATTTATTAAATATATATTTATTTAATATATTAAGTAATAATAATGCATTTAATAATTGCTAAAGTAAAACACTGCAGAATAAGATAGTATTATTGTCTTTTTTTGTGTAAAATTATTCCAAGAATTATAAAATGTACATTTTTGTTACTGAATGCAGGTGCGAAATCGACCAATAGATACTGAGTTTATATCTCTGTTACATCATATTCATAATGATGATATAGAAAGTCATCCTTACAGAGGATACATGATAACTGGGTCTAAAATATCTCATAATATAATTAATAAAATAAAACATACTGCATATATCAAAAGACCGATTTGTTTTATATTTTCTGGATTAGGATCTGAATGGTTTGGGATGAGTAAGTAAATATATTATTATAAAATATTTTAAATGTACATTCAACAAAAAAAAATTTTAAGTTATATAGGATATATAAGTGTACATCAGAACGTACAAATATAGAGAGTTACGATCATGATTATAACATATTCTTATCTAGTATGTTATCAAACTTATAATAATGTATATATAAGAGTTTGATTTATTAGTTACTATTTATTAAGAACGTAATTTATTACCAGTTAACAAATAAAATTAAATTTTATCCTACAACAAATATTACAATATGAGAAGAGGCTAGAGTTTCTTACGTATTCTTACCGATAATTAAAAAATCTAATTATCATGTAAATACGCAGGTGCATGTACATATCTGTATATTGAAATTTAGAGACTGTATTAAAATTTTAATAGGTCGCGCTTTAATAAAATTCCCAGTGTTTGCCAAGGCCATCCAGAATTGCGATACCATTTTAAAACCTTATGACATACTACTTACAAATATTTTAACAAGTGATAATAAAAATATTTTTGATAATATCATTAATTTTTTATTGAGTCTTATTGGACTACAGGTAAGAAAAAAACTCTTTGTTTGGCCTTCATAAATTATACTATATATATACTATATATATATCATATATTATAAACATAATTTTAAAAAAATTATTTCATAATTACTTCATAATTCTAATCTTTATTTAAAACAAATGGGAAGCTATTTTTTCTATATGTATCGCAGATTGGATTAGTAGATCTTTTAACATCTATTGGTGTAGTCCCCGATTTTATAATCGGTCCATTGGTGAACTAATCTGTGGATATGCCGATGGATGTTTAACGGCCGAAGAAACGATTCTGTCGGCATATTTCATCGGTTTAGCCCTTCACGAGTCGAAAATAATTAATGGCTCCATGGCTGAAATTAACCTCGACCTTGAAACCTTAAAAGTTATGTGTCCTTCGGATATCGATATAGCTTGTTACAATACCTCTTCTAATTTTATTGTAAGCGGACCAACGAATTCTATAAAAACATTCCTCACCAAATTGCAGGTATATATTAATGGTTATAAACAATAATATAATCTTTTCTTCTATCTAGTTTCTTTAATTGTTTTGTTAAAACAAGCAATTAATAATACTTATGATTTTATTCATTCTTTTAGGCGAATAGTATATCTATAAAAGAAATTTCTTGTGGTTATATACCTTTCCATAGTCGTTACATCAAACCTGCTGTAGCTAAGTCTGAAGAATACTTGAACCGAACATTACCACAAAAAAAGTTTTATAGCTCAAAGTGGCTGACAACATCCTCTCACGAGTACTCCAATACTATACCTTTATGTTCAAAACATTATACAAATTACTTGATGTCTCCGGTGTTATTTGCAAAGACGATACGTTCAGTTCCAAAAGATACAGTGACGATTGAAATATCTCCTCAGAATATTCTTCAACACATTTTAAACAATTATTTATACTCTACAGTAACAAACGTAGCGCTATATGAACGAACCGAGGATCATAATAATGAGATATTTTTAGAATCAATCGGAAAACTTTATAACGCAGGATTGCAGCCACAGATTGCAAATCTCTATCCGACAGTGGAATTTCCTGTAAGCCGCGGTACCCCAATAATTTCTCCTCTCATAAGGTATGCATATTTTTCGCTTAGACACAAATGGATAAATTATTGAAAAACAAACACTTTCATAAATTTTGAAATATTTAGGTGAAATATATAGTCAGAAGAGAACATCATGTTCAATATAATATCGAATTAAAACTTTGAACTCTTTTTCGAACTTGGTTAGTTTTATCATCTAATTTCAAAATCACATCTCTTTATTTTGAAGACATTCTATCACCTTACTTATCTCAAAGATAAATGTATTCTTATACATATGTTAATCCTTTTATGCCTATTACAAAAGGAGCAGATAACTGTGATATTTTAGAATCTGTGCTTCAATTTTGCATCAAATCTTGAATTAAGTAATTTTCACAATTAATTCGTTTACACGAAGATTATATAATAATTTCTAATGACGTTTTCAGATGGGATCATTCAGAGAACTTCCTTGTAGTGCAATTTTGTCCAAAAAAAATAATTGACAAAAGGGAAACAGTTGTCAGTATTATTACAACTGCTGAAGAATTTGCGTATTTTACGGGCCATGTCGTTAATGAAAAAAATTTATTTCCTGCTATGGGATATCTTTTTTATATCTGGGAAATGATCGCATTGTTAAAAAACCAAGACTACATCAATACATCAGTTGTATTTGAAGACGTTAATTTTATTCGTGCTACAGTGCTATCACAACAAAATGAGATCGAATTAACTCTTTCGATCCAAGAAGGTAATATTATTACGTAAACAATTAATTTTCTAGCGTGAGTTTTCTATTTTTTAATTAGATTTTAAAGCTTATATGCCGCTTTTATGGCGCAATATATACCATAATTAAAATGTAGAAAATATATACAAAGAAAATATATGAGAATAACTAATCTTAATTACGGAATTTTCTTTCTTTTCACAAGTAAACTGCTTTTGTAAAGTCCAGCTCCATATTGACATATTTATATTAAATTTGATTTCTTATAAAATTATATTACGTTTAATAAATTTACACCTATATCTAGGTAGCAATAGGTTTGAAATAATCGAAGGAGATAATGCTATTGTTACTGGAACGGTACGAATTCCAACCAATATTGAAAATGAAAAAATATCAGCTAATCTTGCTAAATGTATCGATGATGAGGAAGAAATGAATACAAAAGACATCTATAAGGAATTAAGACTTCGCGGTTATCAATATGCCGGCGCATTTCGTGGATTAAAAAGCGCATCGGTTACTGCCCGCGAAAAACGATCTAATATGAATCTAACTAAAATCATATTAAATCATATTTAATTTGGGTAAAATTCAAATTAAATCCAGATTTTATATTAAAATTATATTTGTTTAAATACAGTTTTAATTTGCACTTATTAAAATCAGTTATGTAGATTAAATATGATCCACAATAAAATAGGGCTTTAATTAAAATTTAATTAGATCACTTATGTGGATCATATAACACTTCGAATCAAATATGGTTTTAATTTGTATTTAATAAGATAACTTATGTGGATTATATATGATCCAGAACCATACATGATGCAGAATATTTATATATAAGATTTTAATAAAAAGTTAATGTGTTCTGTATGCGACTTTTACTCGATTCAATTGCGGCTTTAACCCAAAGGGCCTAGCGGAGTAAGCATGTGAAATCGGCCCTTGATCATACAGAGCTGACATTAATGTCACAAGTTAGTACCAATATGATAAAACTTTCCACCAAATATTATTTTAAAAAATTCATTTTTTTAGAAGTTATGCAGGGAGAAAGTAAAATAAAGAAATATATTTTTCTCGAAAACCACTTGACCGATTTTGATGAAAAAAATATATGTTATGTAGACTAATAAAACTAATTAACAAAAAAAATGTCCAAAATGTTTGCCAAAAAAAAGACCAAAAAAAAAATATTTGAATTTATAAATATTTTTTTTTAGGGTGATATTTTCGAGGTACCCCTTTGAAATTTTTACGAAAATTTCTCTTAAAGTGTCCACTATAACTTATATTTTTTTCAATTTTTTTTAAATAGTGAAACATAGTTAAAAATACAAAAATCGTAAGCGTCGCGTCACTCCGGCGCACAGTGCAGTGCCATTCCGCGTTGCGGGTGTTCGATGTAACTTTACTAGCACATATGTACGTCTGCAATTAGCCTATAATATGTATACTTTTTAAATTTTATAGTTTCCAGAGTTTACCACGTGGAGATTGCAGTACGGTTTTAAACTCCTTATTGGGGTGCTTTTTTAACGTGAGTCCCCTCGCCTTTCACTACGTTTCCG